CAACCATTTGGAACGTGATGTCATTATGACAGAACAAAACCATCAACCCTCTTCCACTTTTCAAAGTGGTTTGGGGGCCTCAACCTATGCTTCTCCTGAAGCTAGGGCCGAGTGGGCTGTCGCTGTGCTTACGCACAAGGCAGAAGAGTCTGAAGTGCTCTACACTCAAGCACTTGCTCAATTGGATAATTCTGATGAAGCTCGTGCCCATGTTCAAAAACTTTTTGAACAAGCACAAAAGGATCAACAAGCCGTCGATGATGGTCGGGCTATGTATGAACGTAAGTTCCCACATAACCCAAAGTTCTTTTCTTTCGAACGCCGTAGAGCTGAAGAAGAAAGAACAAAGGCTCAGATGATGAATCGAAGCCTCGTTGTTCCCAAATACCTTCCTCAATTAAAGCTGGTCAACAGTTATGAGGTTGGTAAAGAAATAAATGACAAGTCGTTTACTTCGACCAAACATTTTTTCAGCACGCTGGAAAAAATTTTCATTTCTCATGGTTTACAACCTGAAAATGAATTTCGTCGTTTGTTTCCAAGATGTCTTGACGGCGCTCAAACTTTCTTTTTTGAAGGTTTATTAAAGAAAATAAATGAAAAGTCAGATGGTGAAACAGAATGGGCTTTCATAAAACGTCAATTTATTGACAAATATGATACTCCAGCTCAAAAGTTTAATGCTTGGCATAAACTTGTGTCGATCAGACAAAATTCTAAAACCATCGACGAACATAATAAGATGTTCGGTAATTTGTTAACCATGACTGAATGGGAAACAATGCCTGTCTCTCTTCTTTCCAATGTAGTTTATTTAGCTACATTAAACCCAGAAATTAGAAGACAAGCAACGGAGTGGTTGATCACCCGATCTGCCCCGAATTTTGACGTTGATATTCATCAACTGATGCAAACCGTTGCTGGTATGGACATCCAAAGAACAGAAAACCCTAGAGGTTTTGCTCAAAAGCGAAACATTCAAAATGATGTTTCGTTTGTAAAGAAAATAAAAAAGGCTAATACAGTCTCTGATGGTAAAAGAACAGGTGTTCTTTGTTACAATGGTTGCGGGCAGATATACCTTCCTGGACATGTCTGTCCTAAAAAGAAACTCAACGGCCGAGATGGCAAAAATAATTTGTTCTCTCGTGCTGCTATACGAACCAAAACGGTTGTTCAAAAACAAGAAGATGCTGATGATAAGTTGAATCTTATGTCAGAATGTAAGGCTAAGAATAAGAAACAAAATTTAATTCAAAATAATCAAAACATTAATCAATGTCTTATTCCGATTTATTTAGAACAAAAACCTATCATGGCTTTGTTAGATGGTGGTGCAACTTTTTCTGCCATCGATGAAAATTTTTGTTTAAAAAATAATTTTAAAATAATTGTTCTAAATAATAAAAATAAAAATCCAAATGATTGTATCCATTTAGCTCATTCTGATCATGTAATTCAGCGTCTAGGTTATACAGAACCTTTAGATCTTTGTTATAACGGGAAAACTTTAAAATATTCTTTTGAAGTAATGAAATTAACCGGTGATCAACAAGTTAGTATTGGAGCTGACTTAATGCCTTCACTTGGTATTGGTTATTACGGTTTAGTACAAACATGGGATCCACTTCCTCAAAAGATGGAAGAAGACCCTGATAAAGATAAAGAAATCCCAAATGAAGCACCAGCAGGTACAAAAGAAGAACAGGAAACATTCCATCATTTTATTAAAAACAGTTTAAAACAAAATCAAGCTATCCCTACAAATGCTTTTTGTACACTCCCTGAATCTGTGATATACTTACCTATGCCTAAAGGTGTATCATGTTACAGAAGACAATACCCCATCTCTCATACATTGAAAGAAATGGTACATCAAACTGTACAAAATTGGCTGGCTGATGGCATCATTGAACCTGTTCCTGCTAACATCGATAACAAATGGAATTCACCATTAACATTAGCACCTAAAAAAGATATAAACGGTAACTTAACTGGTAAGCGACCATGTTTGGATCCTCGTCATATTAATAAATATTTACCTGATGATCGTTATCCTTTACCATTAATAAGTGATATCTTCACAAAATTGAGTGGTGCCAAAGTATTTAGTACCCTTGATTTAAAAAGTGCCTTCCATAGGTTCAAAATTCATGAGGATGATCGTCATAAAACTACCTTCACATCAGTAGACGGTAAACAATATATGTTCAGAGGTTGCCCATTTGGTTTAAAACCTATATCATCAAAATTCCAAAGGGTGATGAGTATTTTATTCACTGATCTACCATTTGTCACCACATTTGTGGATGATATCGTAGTTTATAGTGATAACATGCAAAATCATCAATTACATGTTAAAACTATAATTGATAAGTTAACTGCCGTTAACCTACTACTCAATCCAGACAAATGTCATTTTGCACAAAAATCCGTATACTTACTTGGATTCTCTATTTCAGAAAATGGACGATCACTTGATGAACGCAAACTGCAAAATATTGACATGTGGCCAACACCGCAAACAGGCAAAGACCTTCAAAGATTTCTTGGTGTAGTCAACTATTTCCGAGATCATATTCCAATGATGTCAACTGTTACCGATCCATTGAATCAACTGCGTAACCAGGATAATCTAAAAAAGAAGTGGACACCTAAGCATGAGCAAGCCTTTACAACTCTGAAAAAGCTTTTGCAAAAACATATTACCTTATCACACCCCAACTTTCAAGAGCCATTCCACGTAGCGACGGATGCATCGAACGTTGGTATTGGTGCTGTCCTCTTCCAAAAAATCCAGGGTAAAACAAACTATATTGGGTTCATGGCAAGATCATTGTCCAAATCAGAGCGTAATTACTCTACAACAAAAAGGGAATTGTTAGCAATCATCTTCGCTTTCAATAAATTCCACCAATTCCTGTGGGGTAATCCATTCACACTCTACACGGACCATAAGGCTCTGATCTATATACATTCACAGGAACATATGAACCCTATGATGACAAATTGGTTAGACACATTGCTCGACTATACCTTCACAGTCATCCATCTACCTGGTACCCATAATATTTTACCTGATTATCTTTCACGCCTTTTCCCTAGCATGTCAAGGCTGGAAGGGGGTAATAACGATAACACGTTAATAAACAGATCTGTTGAAATAAATAGTGCAGATAAAATGGAACCACCAGAAGAAGAACGTCAGGAATTATTAAATAAAGCACATCTCTTTGGTCATTTTGGTGCTGAAGCAATCGTCAAAGCTATTCATAGTAACGGTATACATTGGCCTAAATTAAAAGAACAAGCAGTTGCTCTAGTTAGTAAATGCCCTTCATGCCAAAAATATAACATAGCGAAACATGGATATCATCCTTTACGCCCAATATCCTCAAACTTACCAGGTGACCACTGGGCAATTGACCTTGCTGGACCTTTACCTACAACAAATCAAAATAATAATTATATTTTGATTATGAGAGATATCTTCTCACGCTTTGTAATAATACGGGCAATACCTGACAAAAGAGCTGACACTATAGTCAATCAACTGATTAATGTATTCTGCGATTTTGGTATACCTAAGATTGTACAATCGGATAACGGAACAGAATTCGTTAACGATATGATGAAACGATTCAAGAAAGCAGCTGGTTTTGATCACAGATTAATAACCCCATATCATCCAAGGGCAAACGGTGCAGCAGAAAACACTGTAAAAACAACTATGAATGTCCTAGAAAAAGTAATAGAAGGAAATGTGAATGAATGGGATAAATATCTTCCGTCAGTACAATTATCTATAAACAACAAAATAAGTCAAAGAACAAATACACCTCCCTTTACTATAATGTTCGGTCGTAAGCTTAATGACTTCGTCGACTTTAGGGATGAAAGTATTAAAGAAGAAATGACAGAAGAAGAAATACAACAACGTATAAAACAAATGAATGAAGTGATATTTCCAGCTATACAAAAAAGAACGCAAGAAGTAACAAAGAAACAAAAAACGAACTTTGATAACAAACATAAAACTTTTACTTTTCCACAAGGAAGCCATGTGATGATAAAAAATTCACAACGTACAAAATTGGAGCCCAGATACACTGGCCCTTTTGAAGTGATCAAACAAAATCAAGGAGGTGCATATATCCTTAAAGATCTAACAGGTGATATCCTACCAAGAAATTATACACCTTCGGAACTAAAACTCATTTCAATGGATGAAATCATACCAGAAGATGAAGTGTATGAAGTACAAGCAATATTACAACATCGCTTAAATGAAAAAACTAATAAATATGAATATAAAGTACGTTGGAAAGGTTATACACCAGAAGACGATACCTGGGAACCACATCACAATTTCCAGGATCCAAGAATCATCACTGATTATTATAAAAGAATCGGTTTAAAGGAACCTGTTCGACCTCAAAGAAAAAATAATAAACGGAAAAGAAGTTGAACAGTTCTACAACCATCACTCCCATGAATAAAAAACCATATCCTGAATAATCATGCAGCATGATGTATAATTCATGTTTTGTTATAACATTAAAAGATACAGACAAATATATAATAGACGTCTAACAGACTGGAAGGGGGTGATGTCGTATCTAGACTGATATTATTGTGTAACTTTAAGATCTCAGCTTCTTGTCATTTAAGATTGGATTAGAATAGTTTTTTCTCTTTTTTTCTCTCTCATTTTCAATTCTTATTGAAATAAACTATATCAACAGTCTCATCGTATTTTCGATTTGTCTTTTATTATTATTTTTATATTTGTTAATCCAATCAACTATCTTAGTGTTGATGTTGGCAACTGTGATCTACCATTTTGCAGTATATCCAGGTACCGTTCCATGAATCCTTCACGTCTTTGTTCGCATTCTCTCCACATGCTGAAGAACTGGTTCCATCGACGATCGCTTTGCTCTTGGAAAGCTGTCTGCATTTGTCGCATTTCATCAAGAATTTGACGTTGTTGTCTTTCCATGGTGTCTGCCATAAGTGATCTCATTGTATCGGTTCTTCTTCGGACACGACGCCCACTGTTCCTATCGTTACCGGATGGTCTTGTTGCTGATGTTGGCGCTGATGTTGGTGCTGGTGTTGGTGCTGGTGTTGGTGTTGGTGCTGACGTTGGTGTTGATGTTGTTGCTGGTGCTTCCGTGGATTCTTCTTCTTCTTCTTCTTCTGACGAATATTCAACTTCCTGCAGCGATCTTCCTCGTACCAAAATGTTGTCTCTAAGAGAATCGATTTCCATTGCTGGTATAACATTAGGATCATCACCCACTAATGCTTGCATTGCATCAAAATGAACCCATGTGCATGGTCCACCACCAGATCCTGTAGCATTGATCTTAGTGACATGGTGTCGTATCTAGACTGATATTATTGTGTAACTTTAAGATCTCAGCTTCTTGTCATTTAAGATTGGATTAGAATAGTTTTTTCTCTTTTTTTCTCTCTCATTCAATTCTTATTGAAATAAACTATATCAACAGTCTCATCGTATTTTCGATTTGTCTTTTATTATTATTTTTATATTTGTTAATCCAATCAACTATCTTACATGGTCGGTATGTTCCCTTCGAAGGTCAGCCAGCTTGTGGTCAAGAGCATTGTCAGTTCGATTCATGTCGCCGGTCCTTTCTCTGTACAATTGATGAACAGCACGTTTGATTTTGGACTTGATGGCGTTATTTCCACCTTGACGATACTCTCTCCATTTACCAATCCAACAATCAATCAAAACGGCAGTTTGTTCTTCGGTATATTTTGAACTTGGTTTGGATGATCGTGATGATGATGATGATGACCGCTGAGTAGATGATGGAGGTGGTGAAGATGTTGGCGATCGGATAACTGGTTGGATAATTGGAGGTGCAGATGATGGAAGAAAAATAGGGGCAGGTGATAAACGAGGAAGAGGATGGTGTAAGTGATGATGAACGAGGGTAGATGACAATGGAGTAGAGGCAGATGATGGTGATGAAGTGATGGTTGTTGTTGGAATAGAAATGGATGATGATGAAGTGATGGTTGTTGTTGGAGTGGAAACGGATGATGATGAAGTGATGGTTGTTGTTGCAGCAATAGATGATGTTGATGGCGATGCGGATGATTGTTGTTGTTGGGTAGGAAGATTGAAGCGGAAAGTATGGAAGGACATAGTTAGTAATTGTTGATAGATATCAGAAATAAAATAAAAAATAAAAATAAAATGTTTTTTTTTTTATGAAAATAATGGATTTATTGGAAAAAAGTGAAATGTGAATAAAGAAAAACGAAGAAAAATAAAAAAAGAGGGAAACGCGAAAAAAAAAAAGAAAATTTGCCAATGCTACTGCGGATTATCGTGTAACAATTTACTAAAATGGATGGATTAAGGTACTTTAGTAAATTCTTTGGGAGGATGAATTTTTGTTGGGAGGAGGATTCCTCGCCCCAAGGCAAAGAGTCAACTCCCATACTATAAAAGGTAAGACATTTTTTATTGGCTATTTTTCAATTTCAGCTTGGGAGGGGGGGTTGGGAGGATGGCATCGTGAGAGCACTCCTACAATACCTGATTGTCCAACATTTACGTACGTAAAGCGCTGTAAGTGATCACACACTGCCATCAAGCTCATCGAGAAATTGTTTTTTCTGTCACGATAACTTTCACCACTACGAGCAGGCTCGTTGATCTTGACTAACTTGCCATCCATTGAACCAATAACACCAGGGAGACGTTGACCAGGAAGTATACGTGGATTGTCGACGCCTAGGAAACCCCTCACCACTTCATTCACTGATTCACCTTGTGGCCACTTGATCTTGTCAGAATGAACATCTATCATCGCTGTCAGGAACCGCATAGTAAAATTATTATACGATCCTTGAGAGTATCCCATCTGATTTCTGAACATTCGATAGCCATAGTGGGTGTTTGCAAATCGCCAAAGAACACAAGCAATCTGTACCTCAGGATCGGTCGAATTTTCGGTAGCATAGACAGGATGATCACGTAAGGAGTTGACCAACCAAACAAAGGACGACTTTCGAAGACGGTAGTTTCTGTAGTAACTCAAATCACTAGTATCATCGCGTAAAAAAGGATGGACATCATGCCAATAACCGAACGTACGTGGGATCGCGCCGTTATCTTCGCCATTGTTTTCAAACAATCTCTGAGAAGTGAAAAAAAAGAACGGAGACGTTCTCAAGACAACCTCTAATTCGAAATTGTTTGACAAAATGCCGTTACTATGGAGACAACTGGCCATGAGAACCGACAACAGCATCTCAAAGTAACTTTCCATTCTTTTGCGCATAGAATCTAGAACAAGAGCTACATTCGTTTGAGTGTTGTTGGTATTGTCGTTATTTTCGTTATTGTTGTTATTGATGGTGGGATTCATGTTGATTGATAAAGGTAAAAAAAAAAAAAAAGCGAAGAGAAAAGAGAAATAAAGGGAGACAGAAAAAAAAAAAAAGGAAGACGAAAAAAAAAAAAAAAAACGTGGAAACACGCGACTTGTTGATTTTATTTGGTAGGTATCTCTGGTGATTCTAGCAATGAACGAAAAAGGAAAGTACCATTTTGGAAATATGTGTTACTTACGGAATTTAGTAAGTTACAGTCATTCCGGAATTAGTTGTCGCATTTTTAGAAAATGATGTCGCCTCACCAGAAAAAAGATGTCGTGGTTTTAAAAAATAAAAGTCGTACTCTTCGAAATGAGATGTCGCCCAATTTGATTTTCAATGTCGCATTTTTCGAAATAAATTTTTCTTTTTCTTTTCAGTTATTTTCTTTTTCTTTTTCGTTATATTCATTCTTGTCTTTTGTCCCATTATTTATATCCTCATTATTTATCCAATAAAAAGCTTTCTTATACCATTATTATTTACCTTGTCTGGATTCTGTTTTTTTTTTTTTTTTTTTTTGTGTGTTATCTATAATGGACATCAAATTTTTATTCGATGATGGTCAAGGGAATATTGTTGATGAAGATGGGAATGATCCTATGGCTGCTGATTATCCTGAGCTGGACAAAGAATTGGAATCACTCACTAACATGGAAATTTATACAAGGTGTCAGAATGAACAAAATCAACGCGAGGAAGACCAACAAGACGAAGTTATGATGCAACAACAACAAATGGAAACAACGGCGAAATCCAAAGGACGCAACTACAACGTACATTCGGAAGACGTCAAATCTCTTGTCATCACTTATCATCTTGAAAAACTTGTGTCGGCAGCCAAGGCAGGTAAGGAATACGGAGTGGATGCACGAACAGCTCAACGGTGGATTAAAGCATACAAAGAATCTGGACAGCAAGACGAACCTGGAAAAAACAAAAAAAAAACCTGGGCCGAAATCAAGATTAGGTGACGAACACAAACGACATCTTATTGAATTCATAGACGACAATCCCTCGGCGATCATCGATCAAGCTGTCGATAGTCTTACAAAGCAATTCGAAGGACTGGTTGTCAAGAAAACTGTGGTGCATGAATTTATGAAAAATGAATGCAATCTATCTCTCAAGAAGGCTCATTTCCATTCTTTGGCAAGAAACAGCGATGAAACGATCGAAAAAAGATACGAATGGGTGCTAAAATGGATGAACACTGACATGGACTTCACTACTAACTGCGTTTTTATAGATGAAGCAGCCTTCAACATCAACCAGCGTCGAACATATGGGTGGGCGGAAAAAGGTGTTACTCCTATTGTGAAGGTGGCTAAAACACGGGCAGCATCTCATACAATACTAGGTGCCATATCTGTTGCTGGGATTGTCAATATCAGTATTCGAAAACCAGGGACTAAACGAAAAAGGCAAAAACGGCTTAGAAATGGAGAAAACACAACGACAAAAAGGACAACAGGAACAACAACTGGACATTATGTGGACTATTTAATGGAGACTATGGATGTTATGGATCGATACCCTGAATTTAAAGGCTTTTACCTGGTTATGGACAACGCACCAATTCACAAGGCAGTGGAAATTCAAACGATAATTGAAGAACGTGGCTATCGTTGTGTCTACCTTCCACCTTACTCCCCAGAACTGAATCCCATCGAACAATTTTGGTCCAAGGTGAAGTATTCAACAAAGCGAAGTCTACTCATGGAAGAAGAAACTCTTACAACAAGGATAAGGGAAGCTTGCCATATGGTGACTCACAAAGATCTTCAAGGTTATGCCCGATATTCTGCTGCTCGTTTTGCCGATTGTCTGAAGAAATTGCCTATGTAGATTAGACATTGTAGTTTAGTTATTCCTTCTTATTTGTGTTGATATTTATGTATTTTTTTTTTTTTATTTAAACCTCCAATAAAAATGAATTTTTATAGTACTTTAGTTAAGTAATGTTTATTCATTAGGTGCGCCAACTCCAACGACAAATACTGCGACATTGAAAATCAAATTGGGCGACATCTCATTTCGAAGAGTACGACTTTTATTTTTTAAAATCACGACATCTTTTTTCTGGTGAGGCGACATCATTTTCTAAAAATGCGACATCTAATTCCGGAATGACTGTACTTTGGATCCCCCCAAAAAAATTTTGTGGCCTTGAGAGCACCCTTCGTCTTGTCATTCCAATTCATTCTTGTAAATACATTCCAGACTTTACTTAGCTTGATTTCCGTTTTATCACTTGTTACAGTGTCCAAGCTCATCAAAGAAAAGTAGCTTCCTTGTGCTGAAGAAGATTGAGTAACAGAAGAAGATTGAGGAACAGAAGAAGATTGAGGAAATGAAGAAGATTGAGGAAATGAAGAAGATTGAGTAGAGAAGCCTTCAATTACATCATCGTCAGAGTTGTTCAAAAAGCCCAAAAAAGAAGAATCTGGAAGCATTCGTAAGAGAGTATTTTCTTCAGAGCTGTTTTCATAGTCAAAAGCTCTTTTCTTTCCTTTGCTGGAACTTGTTCCTAGAAAGAAAAAAATATGTCAACATATACAAAAGTATCAAGTAACTGTGATGCATTTACTGCCAACAACAACAAAAAAAAACATACCTTGGTTAAACGACATTAATAAACAGGTGTTGATAATAAAGAAAAAGAAAAAAGAAAAAAAAGAAAAAAAAGAAAAAAAAAAGAAATAAAAAAGAAATAAAAAAGAAATAAAAAAGAAATAAAAAAGAAATAAAAAAGAAATAAAAAAGAAATAAAAAAAGAAATAAAAACGCGCTAAAAAGTCGGCATGGTGGAAAATAAGGTTTCATGCTTTACTCCGCCTGGGCCTTGTCGGGTCACTCTTGGGTCAACTGGGTCATTTTCCTTTCTTTTTCTTTTTATTGACTTCAATTTTAGTATATCAATTAGTAACCCTTAGAAGTTATACTTTTTACTCAATAAAGCTTTCTATTTTTATTCGAATTACTTTGTTACATGTAAATGTAATTCATTCCATCTCTTCTGATGTCTCATTATATCATGTTATTTTTATTTTTTGAATGCATCTTTTCTTTTTATTTATATATTTCATAGGTACCGAATACGACAGAGAGAGTGGACCGAACGGACTGAGTCTGATCATTGGGTTAAATGGGTCAACTGGGTCCGTTGGGCCGTTTGAGTTAAATGGGGCGATGAGGTATAGTGGACCAACTGGGTTAATATGTGATTGAGGTATGCCCAACCCGCCCAATGCCACGTTAAAATCAAAAAGCCCAATGACCCATGGGACAATCATCATGCCTGGCCCAGCCTCCCCGACTTCACATTGAGCCAGTCCTACTGCTGAATGTCGTTATTGTGGAAAACATTGGATACAAGGTCATAAGTGCAAAGAATATTATGAAGTGGTACATGCTAAACAAATTCATAAGGCACGTATGGCTAAACTTAACCAGGAAGAGACAAAGCAAAATAAAAAGGAAGATGATGATCATATGTTAGACATTGATCTCGATGATCTAGACAAATAAAGCCATCAGTTATTCGCTCTCATAGACACTGGTAGCACCTTTAGTAGTATAGATTATACTTTTATAAAAAATAAAAATATATCTATTGTTAAAACACAAGGAACAATTTTGTTAGCAACATCATCATATGTAGAAAAGAGAATAGGAAAAACAAAACCATTATCAATTATATATAATACTGATAAAAAACTAGAACATTCATTCGAAATTATAAAAATGCAACAAGATGAAAAATATCAATGTATTATAGGAATGGATTTACTTAATTCCCTCGGTATTTTTGTTGCAGGTTTAGCCACATCACATACTAGTAGAGGAATAATCACATTTGATGAAACGGAAAAATCAGATATTCCAACTCCAGATAATTCTCCAGCAGGTACTGAACAAGAACAAAAAAGTTTTTTAATACTGTAGCTATTCAAGAAAGTATAAAAACAAATCAAGCTATTGATAAAAAATCTTTCTGTACCGTACCTGAATCAATCATCACATTGGATACACCTCCAGGAAAAACTTGTTATCGTAGACAATACCCTATTGCAGAAAATTTAATGCCTTTAGTGGATGAAGCTGTCGATAATTGGTATAAAGAGGGTACCATTGTAAAAGCGAGTGTTAATAATCAATGGAATAGTCCTTTAACATTAGCTCCTAAAAAAGATGCTAATGGAAATAAAACAAAGAAAAGACCATGTTTAGATCCTAGACATATTAATCAACTTTTACCTGATGATAGATATCCATTACCGCTCATCAGAGAAATTTATGAAACATTGCGTGATGCTCGTGTCTTCACTACGTTGGACTTAAAAAGCGCTTTTCATAGATTCATGATTGCACCAAAGGATCAACATAAAACAACATTTACACATCGAGGTATCCAGTATATGTTTCAAGGATGTCCTTTTGGTCTCAAACCTCTATCATCAAAATTCCAACGAGTAACATCACTGATCCTACAAGACATGGATTTTGCTACATCGTTCATTGATGATATAGTCATATTTTCAAAAACAATGGATGATCATAGTATCCATGTGAAACAAGTAATTGATAAATTAACGTCAGTTAATTTAATTCTAAATCCAAGCAAATGTCACTTTGCACAACGCACTGTTTATTTGTTAGGTTTTTGTGTATCAGAAAAAGGTTTGACTTTAGATACCAGAAAAATTACAAACGTACAAGAATGGCCTATTCCACAAACTGGAAAAGATATTGAACGATTTTTGGGTGTCATCAATTATTTTAGAGATCATATACCAAAAGTTTCAATGTTAACTGCGCCATTAGATAAACTAAGAAAAGAAGGTAAATTGGGCACTAAATGGACTGATCTATGTGAAATAGCTTTTCGCAAACTTAAATGTATAATCAGTCGCACACCCATTATAAAAAATCCATTGACAAATGAGCCATTTTATGTAGCTACTGATGCATCTAACACTGGTATTGGTGCTGTCTTATTTCAGCTTATCGACACCAAAGTTAGATACTTAGGATTCTTTGCACGAGCTCTGTCAACATCTGAACGTAATTACTCTACTACAAAAAGAGAATTATTAGCTATAGTATTTGCATTAAACAAATACCACAAATACTTGTGGGGTAATCATTTTACCTTATTTACTGATCATCGTGCATTAGTTTACATTCATACACAAAAGATCGCTAATCCAATGATGATTAATTGGTTAGATACTATCTTACAATATAATTTTACTGTGGCACATGTACCTGGTATGAATAATGTTTTACCTGATGCATTATCCCGTCTTTTTCCCGTAGAAAAAGAGCTGGCAGGGGATGATGATGATCAAAAAGAAAGAAAAAGAAATTATAGTCAAACAAAAATGACAAACATAATGATGAATCATAAAGAACAAAAAGATCAATCATTTGATCATCAATATATTATACCGGATGAAGATAATCAGAAAAAACTCATTCGCCTATATCATCGCAAAGCAGCTATTTATACTGAATCACATCTTAGACAACCTGAACAAATGGAAAGGAAAGACGTGAAAGACATAAAAGAAAGAAAAAGCATCTTAGAAAGACAACATGCTTTCGGACATTTTGGTGCTGAAGCAATGGAAAGAGCTATCCATGCAGATGGCATGCACTGGCCAAATTTAAGAAAAGATGCAATTGAAATGGTAAAGAAGTGCCATCAATGTATGCAATACAACATAGTAAGAAAAGGTTACCATCCAATGGCTTCTGTTACATCAAAGTCACCAGGTGATCATTGGGCTATTGATTTAGCTGGACCTTATCAAGAAACACATCGTGGTAATATCTTTATTTTAGTAATGGTTGACATTTGTACAAAATTTGTCATCATAAAGGCCATACCCGATAAAACATCTGTAACTATAGCTGAAATGTTACTTGATGTATTTTGCACATTCGGATTTCCAAAGATTCTACAATCAGATAATGGTACCGAATTTGTCAATAAAATAGTAGATGCGATTACTACATCTACTAAAATTGACCATAGATTGATTTCGACTTATCATCCAAGAGCTAATGGTGCAGCTGAAAGAACAGTACAAACTGTTAAGCACACCTTAGAAAAAACAATCATGGGTCAATCAAAGGATTGGGATTATTATGTACCCACTGTCCAATATGCAATCAATGCCAAAATAGTTAGATTGCATAATTCTGCTCCTTTTGCACTAATGTTTGCAAGAAAACTTAATGAATTCAAAGATTATAGTAAAGAAAGAATAATAAATAATTCTTTACGTCATGATGATGATGTAATCTTAAGAATCAAAGACATGGCAGATATTGTCTTGCCTGCTATAATACAACGAACAAAACAAGTTCGAGAAGCATCGCAAAAGACATTTAATAAAAATCATAAAATAATCGAATACCCAATTGGATCGTTAGTTAGTTTATTAAAACCAACTAAAAGCACTCAAATGGAGCCTAAATATCAAGGACCTTTTACAGTGGTAAAAAAGAACACAGGTGGTGCATATACATTGCAACAAAGAGATGGTGAATTATTACCAAAGGCTTATCCACCTAGTGCACTTAAAAGTGTATCAGAAGATCCAATCATTGCTGAAGAAGATAGATGGGAAGTTGAATCAATCATCAATCACAGAGGCAAACCGGGTAAATATGAATATAAAGTTAGATGGAAGGGTTTCACACCTGATGATGATACATGGGAACCTGCAGACATGTTTGATGACATTAACACCATCAAAGTATACTGGAACAAAAGAAATATTGATTATAAGGAAGACTCAAGTAAATCAACAAAAAAGATAAAATCCAAATGATTTATTGATAGAATTATATACAAAACATCAAAATCAAAATACGTAGATATGAATGATACATAAGATGATACCATGCATTGAAGTATTATTTATTCTATACAAGTCATGATTATTCATGTACGACAAAATAAACTATCGTCGTTAAGACTGGCAGGGGATAATGTCGTATCATGAAATAAAAAGTCGTTAGATGAATATAGATCTGAGACATCTACCACATAAAATCTATTGTTCTTCAATAATCAATCTATTTTTATTTTATTTTATTTCCAGATTACTTATATAAATATACCTTAGTTTTTATTTTATAAAATAATCAATTAAGTTATTTTCTTTATAATAAACAACATAAAAGAATCTCACTTATTTATTATCGTCTTTATTTATGTAACAAAAAATCAACCAATATCACACTGGTGTATGATCACTATTGGTATAAAAAAATAAAAAAAAGTATAATTTTACCTGATGGTTTGAACTAGGAAAGTGCGAAAAGGATTTATTCTTTCATTTTACGGCTTGTTTTATGCTTAAATATGGTTTTATCCCAAGTTGTGGTACTTCCTTGGAAGTGCATCATAACTGTTCGAATGGACTATCGATCTTCATGCATCAATCATTCACGATCTGAGAATGGAAACGGGTCATCCATATATGGAAATGAAAGTCACTTTCTAGAGCTTTTTATTGGTGTAAAAACATCATAGGGTTAAATAGTAAGTTTTATTAGGATGATTGATTTTATAAAAAAAAGAAAACATTCGAACGGTTCTGATCGCCACTGTATG